GAAACTTACATTTTTCAAAAGTTGTTATACTTGAAAAAAAATCTAGCTTTTTAAACTGTCTTTTTAGATGTTTAACTTGTGTTTATGTAGGGTGCGTTCACACCTACCTTGTATAGTCCGGTTGAATCGAACCCTGGTGCATTTAGCCGCTTGGTGCGGTTCATTTGGGTCGGTGTGAACGCAGTCCGAGACCTCTGAAGTGAACTAAACAACCGGACTCTGGTCCGCTAAAAGAGGTGGTCTCGGAACGCTTGCTTGCGAACTCTGGAGCGGTTCATCACTGGTGTGAACGCAGTCTGCACCGAAACATAGGAAGCGTAGTATTTACGTGTCACAAGAACGTGGATGTCTTCAAAATCTTTAGCGAAATAGTCTTTCAAGACATCCGCGGTTGTTTAGTTAAAGAGTGAAGCAGAATGAAGAGTTGAACAGTGTCGTGTAAAGTAAAATTATCCGTCAGCTACATAAAAAGTAGAGACACCTGTCGTCGGTGAAACGCCCCTCCTGACTGCAGAACGTCTCATTATGTGATATAATGTTTTTTAACGGACGTTGTCTGATTATATAATCATATGCGCGGGCCGCTAGAGTCTGTTGATCTCCAGATTAACAGCTGCATGAGAATAACCTGCCGAAAGTGCCGATGCTCCATTCTTTCACACATAGTGACGTCACGAGCTACCCACAATGCAACGCGCGCCATATATATATATAAATACGCCATTTTCCTGGAGGTGCTAATATCCTGGAGGTGCTAATATAAACAGCTAGCTAACGTTGCCAGGCAGAGCGCACTAGGTTTTTTTTCTGAATTAACGACCGAAGAAATCGCTGCATGTCTTCGGATTACATCTCTAGGTCGTTACCAGCGTAAACTAGAGCTGTGTGGGTTGTTACAGACTGCCTGCAGATGTATGGAAAAACGACTCTCGAAAGTGGCCTTCGGTCGATTTTGGCTGCATCTACGTCTAATTTCTGGAAACACCAGGTGAATACCCCACTTATCACAATAATATTATCATGCATAGATGTGGTATTTTAGAGTTGACTATATTGATTAAGGCAATAGACTATGATATTCAGCTTGCACCTCGTGTGAAATGGCGGATACCGGAAGTACGGTGTCGCCCTCGGCCCAAAACCCGTGTGTGTGAAAGAATGGCGGAGGCTCCGGTAGAAATTGCCGGGATTTGCGTTTTTACCCCTTAATGTCTGACCAATGGTTGAACAGCATTTCCGTGCACATGAGATGTGTTTAAAGTTTATAGTCCGTTTGAGTTTTGCCCGTGTGAACGCAAACCGAACCTTCTGAAAAATGAAACAATGTAACAAACTGTGGTCTGGTGCGCACCAGAAAACGGACTATTAGGTGTGAATGCACCCTTATATAGCGTTTCATAGTTAGTTATCTATAGACCTCGACTTGCGATTTTCCGAGTCCCTTTGAACGCATCACCTGATCTTCTGTCCGAGACGAACTTTGCTGCGTCACTCTGCTCCGTGTCTTTAATGGTGAGTGCTTCACATTACGTTTCTTCCATACAGGTATAAATGGGTTCCGCAACATTTTAACAGTAGAAATGCAGGTGTGGCGCTTTACATGGACATTGAAGTTGGCAGCTAAATGAGGAGGGAAAACGTTTTCATGGTCAATCAGAATAAAACGTGTATTGCTTGGTAACGGGAGCTAATGTTAGCTACGTGCTAACGCTAGCATAGCAGCTACAAACGTTTGACGGCCAATTATCAAAAAGCTACTTCTAAACAGGTTTTTTCGAACAACGTATTTTTCAGCATCTCAAGTGACTCTTCTGACACTAATGTGGGAACTTTAATTTGTCAAAATGTTGTCAGAGTTATTATGAAGAACTAAAGTTATGGAGTCAGATTTGGGTCAATATTCTAGCGCACAAAACAAGCTACTCACGAGCGAAAAATGTGCTTTTACACGCGCATGAAATGACCCTCGCGCGCAGATTAAACCCTCGCGAGCGGCTATGCGCTCCCTCGCGAGCGGCTATGCGCTCGCTCGCGAGCGGCATAGAGAGACAGCCCTCTTGCTCGCGGAGTCTGTCTACGCTCGCGTGAAAAGTTTCTGACACTTTGGGGCGGAGCCACTGGACTTTGATTGACAGCTGCCAGGAAGCCCGGAGTTGCCAGGTTTGATAAATGCCTGAATTACCAAGAGCCGAGGAGTGACAGCTGCAAGATCAGGTGGACGAGATTGAATGGTAAAGTTGTCCATAAAAAACTATTATATTCGTAAAGTGTACAGTTTTAATATATATATATATATATATATATATATATATATATAAAACAATATATTTTTGAGTGGAAAACTGCTAGCTACTGTCTGCTGTATGCACCTCCCTTACGAAATGAACTATAAATGAATTATAGTATTACTATAGTATACTATAAGAGTTGTATAGTGTCCTTTAGTACGTTTGTAGTGTTCTGTAGTATTTTTCACCAGCTATTGTATTACAATAGTTTTTTCTGTAGTGCCATTTTATTATCTATAGTAGCTCTATACTATTTCAATAGTAACACTTAGGGATGCACGATATTGTTTTTTTGAAACCGATACCGATAACTTCCTGCTTCTCAAGACCGATACCGATAACCGATAATAATATAATATAATATATATATATATATATTAAATGTACCTGTAGTTTTTGCACACCTGGTGGTAAAAAAAAGACTAGTAGTGAGCAAAACTCCCCTCTTCCTAAACCACTAATACCACAGTACTGGCAAAACGGGAGGAGCCGAGTGAAAAACAAGCGCCCCTCATCCCAATCCACCCACACCGCAGTATTGTTTTATTTTTTTTTACCCAAAAAATATATTGTATATTATCGGGGCTATTAATACTTTTATCGGGTTTATCGGGATGACGTCATAATTCCTAATATCGGACCGATAATTATCGTGCACCACTACTAACACTAGATATTTGTAGTATTCCTATATTATTTTAAATAGTATAACTATAGTATAATATATAGTGTTTCTGTAGTTGTTTTTTAAACACACTATAGAACACTCCTATAGTAATAGTATGATGTTGTCATAATGAATGCATATTATTACTATGGTGTTTGTAAAAGTATTGCACTCCTAGAATTAATGTGTCATTTTTTTATATCAAATTAATTAATATATATATATTAGCTGTACACTTTACGAATATAATAGTTTTTTATGGACAACTTTACCATTTAATCTCGTCCACCTGATCTTGCAGCTGTCACTCCTCGGCTCTTGGTAGTTCAGGCATTTATCAAACCTGGCAACTCCGGGCTTCCTGGCAGCTGTCAATCAAAGTCCAGTGGCTCCGCCCCAAAGTGCCAGAAACTTTTCACGCCCGCGTAGACAGACTCCGCGAGCGAGTGAAGCTGACACTCCCGCGAGCGAGCAAGAGGGCTCTCTCTCCTCGCGGGGGTTTAATCTGCGCGCGGGGGTCATTTATGCGCGTGTAAAAGCACATTTTCCGCTCGTGAGTAGCTTGTTTTACGCGCTAGAATATTGACCCAAATCTGACTCCATATAAAGTACTGTTAAACTTATTTTACAAAGCTTTTACAGCTGTTGCTAAGTCACCGGCAGGTGGGGTGGGAGTCAGTGACACAAGCGCCCACGGAGACCTGAGATAACAGCAATTTCTCTTCCATGTAACTAATGTTATATTTTGTAGTTGTAATTGCACATACGCACAGATGATAATTTATTTTAGACAATGACGAAATTGACATACATCCTCCTGGCCCAAAACAAGAGAAAAACAATAATGAATGTATCAATCCCTGGGGGGAAGTAGGTTTGGTTAACGGTGTATATTCTGGTTTAAATCTCAGACCTAGATTAACACATGATGTATTTATTTTGTGACTGTTTGTATGATTTATTAACATGTATTTAAGAATAAGTGAGGTCCCTGGGAAATTCAGAATTTGTAATAACACTGATAGTAAATATGGAAATATACCGGGCTCCTGAAAAGTACTTATAATTCAAATGGTGTGTAAGATTGTTTTATTGAGGTGACATTTATAATCTGTCTCTCCCTCACCCCCCTCATCTTCTCCCTGTCTCTAACTGCAGACTATTACTGTTGGTGACTTTGCAGACCTGAAGTGTAAGTACACAAATAAATAATAAATGCAACATTCTGCAATAAAAGGACCAACTGTAATATTAGGGGTGTAACGGTTCACAGAAGTCACGGTTCGGTTCATACCTCGGTTTGGGGTCACGGTTCGGTACGGGTT